AGACAGTAAACTCTAAATCTAAACATATAATTGGTTTGAATTTTTATTATTTTTAGATACGGATAATCACTGTTTCTGGTAGCCTTCACATAACAATGTATACAAGAGTGTATATTAGATATATTATACATATTTCTACTAATATTTACTCATTTAAAAATTTAGAACAACTATTGTAATATTTGTAACATACTATATTATGCAATATGTCTACTTTGCCACTAGTTTAATTTAACTTGTTTCATTTCGCATTATCCACAAAACACGTCATGGTATGAACAACATGGTGTAACTGCTGAAATCACGGATAACTGTGAAAGTATTAACAAAYCACACATGTAGCCTTTAAGAACTTAATATTAGAGAACAAAAAATGCTCTATGATGATTATCATACACATATTTTCTGAAAACCTATTTAATTGGTTTTCAATTTTATAGGTTTTTTATGCAGACTTATCGAGGCATTTGTCTGAGAGCCATTAATGTCTAAAATACAATTTTTATTTAACTTATTTACAAATAATTAAAAAAAAATTTTCTTACAGGTGTAATTTTGCGAGATTCCCATGGTGTTGCTCAAGTAAGATTTGTGACAGGAAACAAAATTCTTAGGATCATGAAAGCTATGGGCTTGGCTCCAGGTCTCCCTGAAGATTTGTACCATTTGATTAAGAAAGCTGTAGCAATCAGAAAACATTTGGAAAGAAACAGGTAATGATTTAAGTACCATGAGTGCATGTTATGTGTGATGTATATACTCAAACATATTTTCTTATTTTATTGTTTAGAAAAGACAGAGATTCCAAATTCCGTTTGATTTTGGTTGAATCTCGTATTCATCGTTTGGCAAGGTACTACAAACGCAAGTCAAAGATCGCCCCCAACTGGAGATACGAGTCCAGTACTGCTTCTGCTTTGGTTGCTTAAGTAAACTGATATTTGTACGAACATTTGAAAAATACAATTTACAATTTTAAGTTAACCAATATTTTTCTTTTTATTTATTAGTATTCTCTGTTTCTACAAATCCTTTCAATATTATATCTTTTATTATCAACTTGTAACCAGACTGTTTTCATAAACCAACTGGCCTATTAAGTATAAATTTATCTCTGTAGTACGTTTGGGAAAATGTACAGGTTATTTTTATTGAACTGAGATGACCTCCTCTCCCAAGTGTTATCTTACTAATGCAAAACATTGTATGGTATGTTATGAAAATCCATTTTACCAAATTGTTTGCAATCAGAATTAAAATGATGAACTTACCTGGTATCAAATTTKATGGTACCTAAAAATATTTTCTATGGCCCCACATTAGCTTTTATTGATGTTTTAATGTTTAAATTGGCAAAAAAAAAAAGCTAGATAATTAATATTTGTATAGTGATCATTGATAATATGAGTCAAAGTACTGAATTATGAAAATACCCTATTATTCATACTATCCATCCAAAAATCAGAATTTGAATAGATATTTTTTTGAAGAAAATAAGGAGTGAGCAAAGTAAATCACCCTGCAATTAATTAATTTTTTCTATTGGAAGAATGGAAAAATCTTAATTACATCCCAACTTTCAGAATATTTATTTGGTTATCTCAATTYAATATTACGAAGTATAGAACTGTCCTTTCCAGATAAATGCAATTTAGTGGTTCCAGGAGGGAGGGAAGCAATGCGGTCAGTGTAAGTTATGCTAAAGCAGTTCTCGCTCCGGTCTTCAATACCACGTTAAAAAAAAAAGGAGGGAGTGAAGCAAAGGGGCTTTTATAGTTGCCCTATGTTGCAACCTGTTTTTTTGTTGTAGTATATTAGTGGAGGATATATTTGTAGTGTTGACATTCATTTTTTGTACTTGTGCTTCTTCCCATTTACTCTCACTAAAATTCTAGTACTGGATCCACTTCTATTGATATGTTCGGCTAGAACATATTGTGCCTGAATGTTGCTATCTAAAGACCTACAGTTACTTGGATATTTTTAATTTATTACAAAGTGTAAGTGTATTGGACAAGAGAACTTAGTGCTCTCTCTGTACTTAAACTTCATCTGTCGACTGTCACGGGCACGGACGCATGGTGACCAAACAATTGAGTATTGTTTGATGAATCCATTTCTATTCAATATTTATAATATTAATTAAAGTAATTAAGTAAGTATTGTTATTTGAAATAACATATGTAATCAATTATGAATTATGTTGTCTATATTACAATTTTAATGAAATTAACTATAAGCTTGTATCAGGTATCTTTATAAGTGATGATAATTTTTGACGCAAGTATTAAATTTTTTGTAGTTGAGTGCACATATGTATATTATATTGAGCAGTGGATATCTGTGGCAGCTTAAATTTGTTTTCTCAACTCGCATTTAATGTTTTTTACACTACACCCTAAAAATATTTCACTGCTCTTCAAACAATGAATTAATTAGTTTTCAGTGATAAAGTAATGATTATTTAATTGGTGTATAGGTAGGTACAGTAAATCATGGAAGATTTATATGGCCCCTAATCAAATTATACTTATCGGATTCTCATGAGAAATCAATATACCTACTAATATATGTATATATATATAATATAAATGTTGCTTTTTCTATAGTAAAAATTAAATTTATAAAACACAAAATAATGGAACTATTGATCTTATATTTACTGATATCCAAAATTCAACTATTTTTAAAGGGTGCTCATTAGTCCCTTTGGCTGATGATCACCATTCATCATGAGACCTTATTATTATTTAACCTAACCAGTAAGGCTGTAACCTTATCTTGACGACTTGACTACCTAGTCATTGACGAAGTCATGAAAATAGTAACCACTTAACTTTTTATAATTTTCTAAATGTGATTTTTCAAGATTATATTACTATTTATTAAATATGGATTTTAATCAATCATTTAATAATTTAAGTATAGATTTAGCCGTCAATAAATTCTATGAGATTGTAAATTATTTTATTGAATTGTTTATCTTCGAATGCAGTGTGAATAASTATATGTGACTAAATTGTCACGCWCACTTTCAAAAGTTATTCATGCTTGGTCTGGAGTACCTCAGGGCCCGCACGTGGGGCTTTATTGTTCATTATTTCCATAAGCGATCTACCATTTGTTTTCAATTCGCCAGTTAAGGTGTTAATGTTCCGATGTTCGTCGATGACACTAAATTTTATAAAAATTATAAATTTACAAATAATGAAAATGATGCAATTAATCTTCAAGAGAATTTGGATAGGTTTACAACATGGTGTCACGATAATATTTGTTACCAGCAAAGAGTAAAGTACCTTTTGTTTTTAATCATAAAATTATTAATATTATCATTAATCGAGTGGATTCAGTTAGAGATTTGGATGATTTATCTTTTTCTTTTAATATACCACGTAATTATTAATAAAGCATTTGAAATGTTCGGTTTCATTTTAAAGAATGCTAATGAATTTAAAAATATTCAAGTATTAAAGACTACGCTATATTTCTCCCTTGTTAGGCTAAGCGTTGTTTATATTTTCAAATTAAACTATTTAATATACTTGTTTATTATTTGTATTAACTACATTTATACATATATATATATTTTCTTTGTTTTGGCTGTTAAGATTATTATTTTATATATCAATGTTACAGTCCCATAAAATTGTTTAGTAAATAAATAAACATGTTTCAAGACATATATTTTTTACTCTGTAGTAAATTAATGAGCTGATATATTATAAAATATTTATATAGGTACATAATTTATATATTGGAAGAGTAATTATATTGAGACTCAAATTACGATATTGGAATAGTATAAATAGAACTATTTTTTAACTACAAGGCCAGATAATAATATAATTGAATTATGCACAGTCGTCTCAATAATTTTGGGTTTGGTCTTCGGCAGGCAATAATTCAATATTCAGATTGTGCATGCGCTGTATAGTTATTTTCTCGCCTAGAACAAATAATATAGGTAAGCAGTGATAAGATTGAAACAATCATTGACCTCGAACAAATCGAGTAGGTATAGCAAAATTTCATATATATGTCAGTGGAAGGAATATTCGGAATTTAATACAGTATTATAGGAAAAAAATATAAAATGTGTTAGCTTTAGGCGTTAAGCAGCTTAAAGATTTTTAATATTAATTAGTATTAAAAGTTAGTATCCTGATATAAAACATTTAATGGTTGAATTCATTTCAACCCTATGCTTATAAATCTGAAGTATTGAACTAAGGAACTAAACTAAACCATTATCGATTATGCCACAACCACAAGTTAGCATAATTCATGAATTAATAATAATCAAATTTTTCCGATTCTTTGATTTTTTAACAATCACATTGTCAATTTCGGTTTAATATTATGTATCATATATTCATATCTCGTTTTCACCAAAATTTAAGCACTCATCACAATACTTTAATACCACACATGTCCTCCCTCACCCTCCCAAAAAACCCACCACGCAGACTAAAGCGAAAATGGTGTAGAGACCTATTAAATTAGTAAAGGAGGTGTTACCATTGGGTTTCTTCCTCATCACGTCATTCATGCTACTTTATTCTGTTTTTTTTAATCTTATTTGCTTATTGTAATTACTGTGTACAGATTGTAAATTGTCTTTCTTAATAATAAAAAATATATACAATATATATATATTCATATCTGTTATATATTTTATTAGATAGGAATAAATGTATTTCAATGTTTTAAAATTACTTCACCGAAAGTTGTTTTAAATTATAAGTGTTGTAAGTTATTATAACTAGGACCCGGAATTGTATGCATTTATATATTTTTATTAATTAAATTGAAAAGTAGCTAGATAAGACGAACATTTGAATCTTAACCTAATATTATGTTGGTATGCAAAATCAAATGTTTTATGTTTTCGCATATTTGGAACATTTTGCATTTGTATGCATATTTACGAAAAAAAATAGTATTTAATTATTATAAATATACTAATCCTTAATGCTAATAATTATATTATATTAATAATAGATTACAAGAAGAAACAAAAGAGTTTTATAAAAAAACATTCTTAATAAAAGTGCGAACAGAGTAATTTGAAATATTGACAAAAAATAGGTAATATAAGTTGATACATTTTTAGAGATAGAAATAAATAATAATTATTATTTATGCACAATAATTGGTCTAAATTTTAACACAATGCCGTTTTTTGGTGAAATAATTCCTGATTCACTTCTAAAGTCAACGGGAATTTCAGTTTCTTCACACGGTAAGACTTCGAATTTTGACAATACATTTGACAGGACCAATTTCATTTCTGATTCGGCGAACCGTTTACCTGCAATATAATAAACAAATTTTATTTTTGACCGACCGATAAAAATAACACATACATTCGTCAAATGCATAATGCATTTGTCTATACTCTATATGCATTATCGACCGAAAAGCGATATTATATAGTTATATTACCAATGCACAATCGAGGTCCGTCACCGAACGGCATGTAAGTGCCATTAGGTCGTTGAGATTTTTGTTCCACAGAAAACCTTTCCGGATCAAAACTCAGCGGATCGGGATAATATTTTGGATCACGATGTATGCTGAACAAAGGTATAATGAGTTTTTGTCCTTTTTCAATTACAAATGATTCGTCGGGTAGAGTGTATGTTTTTGTAGCCACTCTCATTAAGTTAAAAGCAACGGGGTACTTGCGTGCAGTCTCTGAAAAATGACGAAAGATTAATTGAAATATAAGATGCGTTACCTAAGATTAATTGATTATAAAAGTTCATTTTAATCTATACAATTATTTTTTCCGCTATATAAGTGCACCAAAAATGTAAAAAAAAAAAATTAGAAATTTCGTTTAAGAATTAAAACTGATTTGTTTACTTTTGATAAGATATACTTGATAATCGTATAAAATGTATAATAATATATTGAGCGTAGAAACATTAAGAAAAATAATATATCTTATAAATGATTATTATAAAATATACGATGCAGGCAATAACAAGTAACAACCTTATTGTAACGTGCAGCTGAATGATAGTATATAGCCATATGGGATAGCTTCATAATGGTTACAGACTACAGGCTACAGGGACATTTCTTGTAGGATACACAAATCTAAATATTAAAAATATGATGTATCTGTAACCAACAATTAAGCAGTCCTGTAAAGTATTTGAGTAAAAGTATTCAAATACTTTTTTAAGTATTGAATAACTTTTTAAATACTTTCAGCATGAAGTATTTTGAATGGTATTTTAAATACTTTTTTTTGAGTATTATTGTATTAAGTACTTGTTTGTATTGAATACGTTGGTTTTTTATTTCGAACATTTTTTTTTCCATTAAATTCAATACTCCGTTGCTAAGCAGTGCTTTAGTGGAGCGAGTATTTAGTGTGGGYGGAGCAACCATGACYAAAAAGAGAAGCAGTATGACCGATGAACATTTTGAAAACATTATGTTCTTAAAATTTAACAAAMATKTATTCAATAAATAATAAATAAAATAAAAATTATTATAAACTTACTAGGTATGTGTCTATATTACGATAAATCATTAGAAACCTACTTTAAAAACCAAAAGTATTCCAAATACTTTTTTAAGTATTTGAGTAGTATCTTAAAAACTTAAAAAAAAATTGATTTGAGTATTTACTCAAATACTTTTTAAAAGTATTCTTTACAGAACTGCAATTAAGGGTAGGAAAATAAGGACGAGCATGATTGATGAATATGATGATTCGCCCAGTTATATAACTCATGAATTTTGTAGTACCTTCCAACACCATATTAGTATAATGGAGGTCCATTAAATAATCATTGTTTAACTGTCCGTCATGTTTTGCTTTCATTGAACATAYTTCTGTCCGTAATCTGTCTTGGATTTCTGTGTTCAGTGCCAGTTCGTAGAGGCAAAAAGATAAAATAGACGATACGGTTTCAGAACCAGCGGTGAACATGAGAATTGCGTTACCGATGATATCGTCGTCGGTGAATATATCTGCAAACAAGACATATAATAAAACTTACATTATTATTTATTACGACTATTATTATTGTTATTTATTAATGTTATAAAGGTGACGTCATAGATAATGCTATACAGAAAGGAAGTGCGGATTAGAAATACGTTTGAACTCCTAATGGCTCTGYTAGTGCACGTTTTGTAACATACTTATGCTTTATTTTTCGTAATTTACATTTTTCTAGATATATACATTATAACAAAATATTTAGAATGTATTTTCATTGTTTTTTWAAATATTATTCAACAGATATGCTATCGAATACTTACATTTATATTTTTCAAAAATTATTTTGTGCATCATAGTTTTAAAATTCAGTAGCACATTAAACATTAATTATATTTTTATTACCTATGTAATTGTATAAGATTTAAAGTAAATGTCTTTTACTTAAATAATTAATATCATTCCATAGCCGTGACAATAATACCTTCAGTAGTCGAGTTTTTTTTCAAAACTAATTCTTTACGCGCTTGCATCAGGGTCTGCGCCAAATCGTTCCGGATCACGTTGTGCTCTTCGCGATACTTGAATACATCGGTGAAAACTTTATGGAAAAAATTGGTCGCCTCCGCGGAAAACATTTGGATTTTTAACACTTTGATCACCCAGGGGCAGATCATCAACAACACCTGGACGATCATCTGTTTCGGAGTATTCTGAAACATTATCCTGACGTACCGCCGGAAGTCAGAATCGTCGTTCTTGATCGTGTCCAACTTCATGCCAAACGCACACGTGCCGATCACGTCAGTGGAAAAACCAGAAGTTATCGTTTTCACGTCGATTCGGTCTGTCTTCTTCTCGATCGTCTCGAYAATTCCAGACACCATCTCGTCGCTACACTCGTTGATCTGGGCGTGCGTGTCCTTGAGCTTGCCGGACGTGAAGCCCGGACTCAACTTCTGACGCATCGTCCGCCATCGTTGGCCATTAGAGAAGAACAGACTGTTGGCCAGCACAGACGTGGACGGGTCCAAGTCGAAACCATGATCGGTAAAATACGAGAAATCCTTGACCAGTATCGTGTGGATCAGCTCCGGGTCACGGACCAACAGTATCGGGTCCCTCATCTGGTAGTATCCGAACAATTTGACGTCCGGGAAACTGTTGTAGAACCTGTCCAACATGTCAATAGGATGCTCGAGCCTCATCATCATTCTGATCGTGTTGCCAAACAGTGGCACTGGCGGCACGTATGGAATGTTCGATTTCCGCCATTTATCATACGTCGAAATCGAATAATAGTAGAAGCTCGCGAAAGCGGCGATCAAACTCAGACACGTAACGTTGTCGAGCAACCATTCGGTCACAGGCGATATCATGATCGACTTGTTAGAAGTTCATCGACAGCAGTTATTGAATCCAACGCTTATTGGGGGGGGGAAAATAATACTACAATCTCGTACGAGTTCAAATCAATACTGCGATGTAATAATGATAGGTACGCATGACATGTTAAGCGTGTTTGTGTTGTGAGCTTTTTTCAGTACCTATATTCCATCTCTTTTGCGATTAATTGTTCTGTTTTGACGACGAATGGAGAGGAAGGGACTCGTTAATGATTACAAAATACGTAAACAAGGTCATGCGTTTGACCGATACGGTTGGCGAGMAATGAATGCATGAATAAACATGATTTTCCATAACTATTCATGTGTTATTCTATCATTAAGATATGGTGAATGAAATATTATAAATTATCATTGATATAATTATTTTTCTATTAGCTCTATGGTAGTTTAAATTAATTTTCAACAAAGCCGGGTTCTGAGGTTCTGTTAATGAACGGTCCCCCTCTTCACGTTATTCATGTTTGTTTATTTTCTATATGTTATCCTTATTAATTATTGTTTTTTATTGTAAACATATTGAATATATTTAAATAAAAAAAACAAACATTGGTTATTAATTGTGTCATAACACAATAATTGCAGTATTATTAAGCAAATTGTTATTGGTTAATAAACGATAACATACAAAAACGCACTTAATTCGTACTATAGTGCTACAGTCATTTTTTACTAGCGTAAAACATTCGTTCCTATGTTCTARCCGAATTTCAGCGAGATTATCTTGTACTTGAGTAACGGCGTAGTGATATTTAATGTCGCTTCGCCACATATTGCTTCGCTTGTCTGACCTATTTTAATTATCAATTACAATTAAAAATACATTTCCACGTATTATAGTTTACAGTATTATTTACAACTGTTTAAAATTTTATATGAGAATTCGACAAATATCGACTTATCAAAGTCAATACCAACGTACCGTTGAATAGTGCTAATTTGTTATTGGTATAGCTTTAAACATACTTAAAACATATGAGAATTTTATTGTGTTTGATAAATAATGATACACATAGACAGAATTTTTAAGTTTCTACGATTAATATTTTTAGAATAAATTAAAAAAGTATCAAATACTTGCATTTTTTTATGTCTAAATATCAAAATTCAATGATGTTCATACTTGGAATGTCTATAAAAATATAAGTATTGCGTATTGAATTTTAAAATGTTTAGAATAYTGTTAAAATAGCTTTTGAGAAATCACCAATTAAATTTAAAATCCTAATCAGATTGTTGAATTCAAAAAAGTTGGATGGACACTGMATACTACTGTATCACTGAAATGGGTGTATTGAACTTGAATTCAATGATATATGAATATGATTGTATTAAAAAACTATTTTAACCAAAGACGATCTGTCAGGCTTTATCATAAATTAGATTTATGAATTTATAATATTGCTAATTTATACAGAAAGCATTACATTTATTTTATTATAAATGTTTTATTATACTAAAATAGTTTGTAAATATTTTAAAATGTATACTGTACGAGTATATATGTATTTATCATTTATTTTATAAAATAAATGATAATAATGATATTAATTTTTGAGTTATTACTGGGGTTACCGTATAACTTCGATGAGAATAGGTTCATGTTATAAATAAGCAATAGTTTCAAAAGTTATTAGTTAACTTAAATATTTGAAAACGTCATTTTGAATAGTGTACTATATATAATAAAATATAAGTTTCACTCATGAGTGCGAACGCGAAAAGTAATGGGCGTATGTTCGTATAAAACGGTTTACTCACAATGATAATAATGATTATTTACGGCAGAGTGCATATGAAGTTGCCTAAAAAATGTTCCTTTAGAATAAAGTTATCAATATAGTGTAGCTCTAAAAAAACACCAAATAGGTATGCATTGGCGTTTTCACCGAATGTTTATATTAGGATTTCTATATACATTCAAATATTTTTAGCTATTTAATTAATATATTAAAGACATGCTTTCAATTTTTGTAACTATAGACAAAAGAGTTTAACTAAACATGCGATTTTTGTAGTTATTAATAGTATAGTAATTGTAGATCACAAAACGTATGGTGAACAGTTATTAAGGCACAAAAATATTATATCATAATACATGTTCATTTGTATTAGTAATTTAGTTTTCTTTTAGTTATAAAGTAGTTCGAACTATATTTTCAACTTTAATTCCCCTACTACCCCCCTCCCACCAAAGTAGATTATTTTTTATTAAAAAAGAAAAAAGTCCTTAAAGCTTAAAATTAAAACATTTAATTTTAGGGATAAACAAAATATTTAAAACTCGTATCATAATAATATTGGTATGTTTAAATTTATAACGGCGTGTTATATAGGCAATTTAGGGACATCGTTTRCTCAAATATTATAAATTATTAAAATTCCAAACTATATCACAAAATATAATTATTACCATAATTGATTAAACTGCACCTATATAGCAATATCAATCACTAAACAACAAAATAACCATAATATACCATGTTCAATGTTTACAATTTGGTTCGATTAGAAGTCAGTCATGAACTCATGAATAATAATTTAAATACCTTTCCTATTTGACTATAGAAGCCCAATGCTGAAGAAGCTTTGAAGGTCCCACAATTATCGAATACCCGGATGGGTCATACCGACAGGATAAGGTTCAATTGTACTTATTTTAGTGTAATTATTGCACTTGACTTTAAATAAGGTAATGGTTGAACTGCACTCGGGAAAATCAGGTAATGTTTGAAATACACTCGAGTTCAAAAAGCTTTAACTCATTTCTCTTCCCACTTAAAAGCCTAGAACTAACAATGGTTTTAAATTTTAATAATTATCGTAGTAAAAAATTAGTTTTTGCATATATTATATAATGTTAACATGATAAATATATTGTGTAATAAAGTGTAATATATAGGTATATCTTTTTAAATAATTTATTCACAAAAATAATTTTGATAATATATTATAATATATTATATCTAGTTGTGATATACATTATAATATATATATATATAATTTAATAGTATAAAAATAAAAAATAGTTTACTAATGATTGCATTTTAAGCGAGAAGTGAAGTTAATGTTTTACAAACATTTGAATTAACCTTATTTTTTAAATCCCAGTGCATTTTAACCATTTAATTTAGATAAAAAGTGTAATTAGACTATCCCGGATTGACACTGAGTATTATAATATCATCATATTAAATGGAAARTTGCCACAAAGGGCATAAAGCATCAAATGTATCATCCCRTGGTTAGGTAAAATAATATAAATTGTATAGTTTTTATTGTGTTTATAATGTATAATTAATGATATTATAATATAGATTATGGTACTCTACAAAATAACAGCCTTCATCATTTTTTTAATTTATTTTTTTTTAATTACCAAGCACGTATAATATTATAAATTAATATATACATCAATAAGCTCTTTATATAATTCGTATAAAAATATTCTAATATATATTATCACGTGGTTTTAGGGTAGCTGATGTTAATAACATAAAAAATTTGCCAATGCTTTACATAATTTTATTTTTAAGTCTGTACATCAAACTGCAGGTAGAATGTATATTTAAAAAATAATTTATATTATCGTAAATAATAGTATAGAGCAGCAGAGACTAGTCTTAAATCTCATTTTTTACATTGAAATCTGTTCCCATTTTATGCTGTCGATAAACCAGAATACACATCTAATATACTGTATATCAGCTCAAAGGTAATATTAATAGTTAAATAGGTTATAATATATATATAATATTATAATCACTACACTCATGACGACTTATCGTTTTAGGAGCATTCCTCCTACGAAATTATTTATCACATACGAACGATATGTTATTTTTGGTATAAAATTAAAATTATTTACAGTATAATAATATGATAATAAGCTATACGCTACCTGCAGGGTGATTTTTATACAAAAAACTATCAAGGAATATGCTAGAAAACAAAAGAAATTGTTTAGTCTCAAGAATGTAATTATTGATAAAATAATAATCATAAAAAAATGTAAAATATTAAATTGTTGAATATTAAAAAAATCAATTATGTTCCTTGAAGTATTTTACAGCATGATTCACGATAAAAATATAAACACCCTGCGTATTTTATTATATTACAATCACATACATAAATTATTAAATAAAATAGTTAATTAAAATAATAACATGATGTGTAGGGGAGGGTGACGAGGAACCGGTATACGACATATACGTATACAATATATTATTTTATTGGGCGAATATTCATTGTATGTTTTACACGAACACCGYGGTGGCGTCGGCGGTGGGCAGCACAAATATATAGTTTGATGTATAATATTATGGTCGTATGTACAATATAATATGACGTATTAAAAATATTTAAATCGCATCTCTTTCGTCGACGCATTTGAAATTACAACACGTTCTTCGTTCCTAGTATGTTCATCAGCTTCCGCGACATGAAGTAAGGACGATCAGCTGATCCGTCATTTCGTTCGGAGTCTTCCACTGAAACAAAATAAATATGACCAGAGATTAAAATGAGTTTATACACTATAATATTAAACAGTACTTATAGCTGATATTTTATGACATTATCCGTGTCAATTGGAACACTTGTGTAGTTGTGTATTTACTTAGTCTTAAACTCCGTGAATTGTAAACCACACATATTTTTTTTATTGTTTTTAACAAATTAATTTTTACAGTTTTACCACATATAAAATATAGGCATACAATTATAGCTATCTGGTTTTCTATAACCAAACCAATGACTATCTTAAAAAACAAAATTATATTCGTTTTTCCTGAACCAACAAATTCCCGTGAGATCGGCCTTATTAAAATGAAAAATGAAAAAAAAATGACTGAGAGTCACATCTTCATGCTTAGGCTTATCTTTGTACCAAATTTTAGGACCATGAGTGTGATAGAATTGGCTGTGAATTAATTACACCACACTTTTTACTTTTAGTTTTTTGTTCTATTAATGGTTTAAACGGTATCCTTTAATTTTTTTTTTAAATTTACCKCTATCATACTGAAAAAAWTGTTGTATGTATACAAAAAATAATATGTATTACTTATTATTACTGTATTATTAATTTTCTAAAACATTTTCTATTCATTTCTTAGTTTTCACGACCACAATACATAACTAAATATTTTATTTTCAAAATTGATGTATTTTTTTTTTATATACAAGCGTTAATATTGGAACGGAATATTTTTCGTCAAACCGGTTTTGGTTTAATTTGATCGTTTATGAGGTCACTAAAGGCATTTATAATATGCATATCATTGTAGGTACTCACAAAAGCATAGGAACAGTGTGTCGACAGCGATTGAATACACGTGGAAGAACGTTGACGATATCACCCAAGATCCGGCGGCCACGATGAACATCGGTAGCCACTTATTATTGAGGACGGGCTGATTAAAGAACTCGAACTTTTTGATTGGCTCTATTGGTTCGTAGAACTCGAAGTAAAATGCCGCGATGGTGGCGCCCATTATGACAATCTTGCCCACGAAAAATATAAAATCAGTCACCTGAAACAGTACATATACAATTATAATTGATAACTACCCAACTTGTACAGTATTAAACGGCGTATATATTATAATGTTACATTTAATTGTAGGTATTTTTATAGATCTTCCGCGGAGGTTTTTATTATGGAAGAGTCGTGGAGGCTCTTAAGCCATCTAGTTGAAATATTTGTTTACAGTATGTCATTAATCATCATTAATAAATCCCAATTTATAACAATGATTTTAATATGACTTTATGGTTTAGTTGACTATTTTTTTTTTTTAAAGAATAATATCTTATAATACATAAAATTAATTCATTATGTTGAATGATGGAACTTAATTTATCATTTTTACGTCACAGTATTTAACTGGTTTTATGCAAAAAAATGCATAATAATATTATATAATAAAGAATGAAATAAATGTCTTTTTAATAAGGTTCAAAATTATCTTTGGAACTTAAGTACTTTWATACTTAAAAATGATTACTTTGATTGTTTTCCCCCGTGAAAGTATAGAGAAGTGTCGTTTTCATTTTAAATAGAACATTGTATTGTAATCATTTAATCCTATATAATACCATTGATTATAAATACTAGTATTTATAATCAATGGTATAGCTCATGAGAACTATACTCACATATCTATTTCTAAACTTTTGCAGGAACATTATACACTCWTCGCGACGGAAATATAATATTATAGTATTATACATCCGAGCTTATATAATAGATACATATTTGTATATGATAATCATCTTCGATGTATAATAATAAATAATGAACATAATTGAGTACAACAATATTACCTTGTCCAGGACCACCAGACGYAATACGTTCCTCAACAACAGGTCGAATGCCTGTTTGGCTGAAGTGCAAAAGTTCTTCCCGTACATAGCACACATTATGTACGCGTTCCGATTGACGAATCGCAAGAACTTGTTCAGCAACCAAAAGAAGCATCGCATGCACGTGAATATGGCTCGGGTAAACGAGTTGTCATACTTCTTCAGTTTGGTTTCCACCCACTCGAGTATCACGCGTATGAAATTGCAGATGGCGATGATCAGGGATCCGTAAGCGACCGTTCCCAAGTGGTATCTATACACAGTTAATTAGGCAAGCAGGAGATGAGTGTAATTAAATATTATATTGTATTTTTTTCTTCTTGTTTACAGTTTAATAATCGAAAATTATTCAATACCTATATCAAAAATCGTAWTTGTAAACAACCTAGAATCTAAATTTTAAATTCTATATTATTAGACAAATAAAACTAAAATATAAATTTAAAAATAATTTATATATAGTTGAACCAGTGAATGCGTATATGTTAAACACGTAGGCCAATAAATTGGTAAACAACGTTATTTACCGGTTATTATAACGTTATTTATTTACAAATGTGGAATCATTGTTATTTTCTAGTGTATATATGATATGGGAAATATTGATAGTAAAAAATTTAAATGAATTAAAATATTAAATTATCAATTAAGCAGATTKCAGACAGTTGACACGGAGTGAAACACCTATAGTAACAGTTCTATTGCCGGCCCTGCAGGATACCAGCGTTGTCCAGAGACTGAAAATTTGCATAACAGTAACTTTCACGGCAGTATATAAGTTATATAAATAACATAATAATAAAAATGCATTGTTTCTATTTTTAAAAATAATTTCATTATACGAGTACTTAAAATTATATAATTTGAGATACACATGCATATCTGGTCTAACCAATAATTACTCKTATATTTTGTCATTAATTTCATTAGCAAGTTGATAGCGATAAATTATTACCAWTATATTTAGTTAATAGCGTTATTTTCTAGTACAACGTCATTTACTGTAACATATAGGTATATATATATATATAATTATTACTTGAAGCAATTAAATGAAATACATTTTATAAGGAAAATAGGGGTGGGCAGATATGACGGTAATATAAGGAACTATTTCATTCATCCTAGACATTCAAAMTTCTAGACTCTAAATGAGACCAATCTCTTCTCTCAATCTAATTTATGTGCTAAACGTGCACCTAACGAGAGAACGTAAATTTAAAATGGTACGCACCTGATTGTTTTGTAGAAGGAACTTGTGAGCGAGAAGAATGGCACGTCCCTCTTATGGAACGTCCAGTACCACGAGGTGAACGTAATGGCCAACACCATTTGGGAGAATGCCGACACAAAGTTCATCAACCACAACATTCCGAACACATTGAACAGCTGAAGTCCGGTGATGAAGTCCTGTGATACTGTATGGTCGTATGCACATTTAGCCAGTCTACACATGGTATTGTTTTGGCTTTTGGCACTGCAGTACCGTTCCCATTTGGACTCTGTGCACCAGTCACCGTCCTTGTAAACAACACATAGTCAATATTAATTTATTAATTGAAAAACTGAATAAACTTTTGTTACTATAATATCAGTATTAAAATGTGTGAGCAGTAAATATCTTAATAACATATTAACACAGACGGTTGAGTTAGGTTGGATGTTTAAAATATGTCTATACCTATACAATACTGAGTATTGTATTACACTGTATATGACATACTGCGTATATAAAATCGTTTATTATTTGACACTACAGAAAAAACAAAATCGATAAGCGGTGGGTAAAGGCTAGCTRAGTCYGAAAGAACCGGAAGCGAACTGAGATCGAAATTTTATTCAACAGGTTGATCCACCTCAGTCAGTGCTGTTTGCCAATTAAAATATAAATATATTCGTCTTGTGCGTCTAATGATATTTTATAGGGCAGTAGTGCAAATAATTACCTATAACTTTTTTTTAAGTAAACTAACGATCAGATGTCGYATACATATAATATAATTGAAAATGTACTTGGTGCATAAAATCACCAATATAAATAGATAGRTACCTTGTAGTAACTGTTGTTGCAAAAACAGTCGTGATCATTGGCGAGGCCTTTAACTTTGAAGACGTACAGTTTCATGGACGACAGATAAATGGCAACAATGAAAAACCAAATCAGCACCACCAAGTACAATAGCCACTGGAACACCGGGAAAGCCAGTGATGTTTTTATCTCGAGTATCGCTCTGAAAATAAAATAGTAAACAATTTTATTTAACTGATAAATTGTCATTAAAATTTCAAATTTGCATTAGAAATTGCAGCATATTTCGAATGGAAATTGTTCACGTCATGAAAGTTGTAACAGTTTCGATTATACGTAAAATTATAAGTAGGTGAAACGCTATTATAATTATTATTATACTTATTTATTACATATTATCACATATAAACCATAAAGTCACTATTATTATTATTATATCATCGTCTCACCGACTTCCTTCCACGATTAGCGCTATGGACAGCCGTATCCGTTTACGCAAGAACACGATGATCAACAACAACACGACCAGCGCGACGGTCGACACAACAGTGAACATCAACCAAGTGGACTTTTTGTTCAGTTTCGAATTTGCGTAGTTGGTCCAGCTCTGCCGGCCGCCACCCGTGGCAATGTCAGTCGGCTCTCCGTCTTCCGTCATCGAAGTCGCGGTATCGGAGTCGCCGAATGACATGTATTTTACGTACGATTCGTAGCTACCTGAAGTACAAAACAACGGATTTATTGAAATTCGCAAAATAAAAATAAAAATCTAACAGAACGTWATTTGCYAAACTTTTAAAGTATTATTTAATGTTTAACCATGTATAATATAAAAACAATCGATTAGCGGTATACTCTAATGATATATCGTTGTACCATCATTCTGGTTAGATTGGGAATCAAGGTGGTCACTATTGTTACCTGCATATAGGTATATATATAATATATAACTGCGCATTTAGTGTGTATACTATATGTATACTATATAATAAATACAGTTTATATGGTTGATCAAATATTAATATTCATTTTAGTGAAACAATTGAAATAAATAAATATAAATGCGCATAGTGGAATWGTTATTTAAAAAATAAATAAAGTTATAAAATCCTATACCTTTTGTTTTGCACACAAGTATCACAGTAATTAAAATTATTTGATTAATTTAGTAAAAAATTCGATAAAAAACATATTTTAAGTGTAAAAAATGTCATCTTATTTTAGTTTATTATGTTCGTTATAACTTAAATGTAGTAGAATAAACTTACAGCACTGTCATAGTAAAGATCTACTTTTTCATGTACTTAGAAATAATACAATACTGTAGTATAATATAATTGTACATAAAAAGTTTTCTAAGTCATTTTAGATTGACTTTTTTGTTTTTTTTTGATTGTCGAAAAGTGAATAGATCAAACTATTGGTAAATGGTGATTATTATGTACTTTTAGTATAATAAACTTGATATTCGTACACTACAAAACTAACACTCACCAAAAGCTAATAAACCCACGATGGCCCACATTGACATCCAAACCATTATCCAACTGAACCACCTCAGCAGCARGATRTAAGTAAGACTCAAGAAGATGGCTATGAGCAGACCAACTACAATATGTTGGTAGCTTTTTTCCAAATCTTCTATTACATGTTGACTGGCCTACGAGAACAACGAAATTTAAATCTTAATTTTTATCAGGCGTTGACTGCATTTTTTGTTACCGTTTGTAATTTTTAAAATTATAGGTAGGTAAGAGAGTTTTTTAATTTTTTTTATAGTTTTATGATTTTGATTATTTACTTCTTTCGATACTTTCAACCAATCGACCATAGCAGTTCCGTCGATAAAATTGCTCATCATAATATTGTTGGAATTCAGAATTTGTTTCAGACTCTCTAAGTCACCGCTCAGCGTAGGGATACAATAATTAAACACTGAAATCATTTGGAAAATAAATTAATAACATACCTACTCGTCGACGGTTAAAAATGATATAATTTGTGTCCACACAACGTGGGTATAATAAATATATTATTACGCATATAATGAATATTGATGATCAACACTTACGAGTTTCACTCCTAGTAAAATATTTGGCACATAGGTTGGAAGACGTAAAGTTTTTTAGCACTTCCTTCGAATTGACCAATTTATTGAGATCAGGAGAGACGCATATCAGGGTCTTCTGTACGGTCGGCCAGTCGATTTGAGACTCTTTGGAGTCCAATACGTCTTTGACGGACCAATCCGTATTTGGACAATTTTCCACGCATACCTGTGGGGAATAAAAAGCAGATTATATTATACACATTATTTTGAAACAATTTTTGCACGCGTAATGTGTATTTTATATAAATACGTCGTGTGATTGGAATATCTTGTTTTAAAACGTGACACGATATGCTATATCTAGAATATTTATTCTCAATGTTAAAAAAGATCACAATATGTGATATTTAACAGTGAATTAATATATTTTAAATCATGTAAAACATATTTTTTTCTAAAAAACCACAATGTTTTATGTTTAGTTGGAAAATTAGTGTATCTATATCGTTTTAAAAACGCGGGAACCATGAACTTATACTTTCTTAGTTATAAAATGATTAAATTACAAACATAAAAAACAAACATTTGACAAAACACAAATTACATTTTTGAATACGAAAATACAATTTAAAAATACAAATATCTTGTGTTTATTTCCTATGAAAATTATACTATAGTGCTATATATTGCTTATTAATTATTATTAATATTAATTATGATGGCATTTTATTTTACGATCTATGGTAATAAGTGTGTCTATTTATATTATTCTGTAATATAATAATAAGCTATATAGTATTTAAATCTAATAAATAAATAAAAATATTGTTGCCATAGCAAAAAAAAGTGTTGAAATATATATTATTATTTATTATGATATATTGTACCATTTTTAATGTACTAGTTGAAACAATCACATATTATTATATTWCGTTCAATTGTTATTAAAAGTTATAAAGTATATTTATTTTGTATTCTTGCACCTATATAGAATTGTTGAGATATATTAAGTGTTACTTAATTTTATTAATCAAAAGTAAACTATTATTTAACGATCATGTCAAAAGGTGATAATACGCAGAATGCATCGTCCAAAAATGACCTGAACATTTTGGAAAGTCACGGTCTAGCTAGTTTGCAGCCGGATGAAAGACTTAGCCCAGTGCCTGAGATGGAGAGATCTTCTGCCGGCGATCCACTCGTGCCATCCACGGCCGATTGTATGTTGCAGGTTTTTTCTGATCTTCGTACAAATCAGACAAAAGAACAGGAAAGTCATGGGCCCGTGGATTTATCGCAGAGTARAAKATGTCATTCAATGCCCAATATGGCAGTGCTTCAGACATCTTCTGTCACCGAGAACTGCCCCGAAGAGTCGAATGTCACGATGGATACACTGTCCAGTGACTCATCAAAGCTAGATGATTCAGTGATGGTGACTCCAGACGAACCAACTGCAGGACCAATCCCTACAATTATAGCGGCTTATGAGAGTCCAACATTTTGTTATCATATTGGATTCATGAGTGCAGCGGCACCAGTGATGCCTGCCATTGCATCTGAAATTCATGATCTCGARAATTCGGTACCGCACAGACGAGCAGTATCGATGCCCAACATTTCAATACAGTTTGGCGAGGTCGAGTCTGAAGGCGGCTTGACGAAACGCCCAGAGTCAGTTAATTTCCTGAAACCGACAACCGACGTCGGTGGTAGTGACGATGCAGGAAAGGAGCCGACGATAACTCCGGCTATTGCAAAGCGACGTAAATCATTGTGGAATAGGACAAAGAAATTGTTTTTGCTAATGATTTGTTGTGGCTGTAGTAATATGCCCATAAATTAAATGTTAATTATTTTACAGTATAATTTATGATGCAATACGTACAATTTAATAATATTATCTATTTAATCGTGTTGTATATTCACGAAACTTTTCAAATTAATTTAAGTTGAAAATAAAATATTAATGTTTGCATCTAAAATTTTAATAATGAATATCAGATACTAAAAGCTCATATAAATATATATCTATTGTCTACTTTGAACCAAACAATTTGAATGTTTTGACAGTCGACACGTACCTACAATATATCTTCGAAAATTCCATATGATTTTTAAATCATTACACTTAGTTTACATTATCTATACATGTGGCTCTTATCAAAGTTTTTTTATTATGGTAAGTACTTAAAAATAATATTTGTTTTTATAAGAACTTCACTTGAAAAGGATTTGTATCAATGTATACTTGTCTAGGATTTCGGTGGTATATTCTTCATTAATTTATTTTTAATTTATGCATAGATTTTAGGTAATATTTCTTTTGTTGTAGTTTATACGAAAACCGTGACTTTTACAAACCCTGTACTATCCATACGTTACAGTTATAACCACTCAAACGTACATATGATGGTGATAATTGCAACGTATGATAGTACAGGGTTTGTAAAAGTCACGGTTTTCGTATAAACTACAACAAAAGAAATATTACCTAAAATCTATGCATAAATTAAAAATAAATTAATGAAGAATATACCACCGAAATCCTAGACAAGTATACATTGATACAAATCCTTTTCAAGTGAAGTTCTTATAAAAACAAATATTATTTTTAAGTACTTACCATAATAAAAAAACTTTGATAAGAGCCACATGTATAGATAATGTAAACTRARTGTAATGATTTAAAAATCATATTCATATAGAATTTTCGTAAATACATATTATTGTACGTGTCGACTGTCAAGACATTCAAATATTGTTTGGTTTAAAGTAGACAATAGATATACATTTATATGAGCTTTTGAAGTATCTAATATTAAAAATTAAAATTTTAGATAAATATTTTATTTCTAACTCAAATTAATTTGAAAATTTTCGTGATTATGTCGATTTTTTTCAAAATCCTAACTTATTCATAAAAATATATTCTGAATTTACGCATACATTTTTTTTAAAAATTACATTAAAAACAACCGCCTTATGAGACTTTGTATCACATTTTCAAGTTTATTCAAATATTGAAAGATTATTTATTGATGAAAAAAAATTATTATTCAAAGTTCC